TTATTATAAAAGATAAATGCAGTAACAGAACATAAAACAGACATAAGCTACAGCATGATTAAAGATTACAGTAATAGCAAATAGAACATCGAAAGGTAATTGCAGTAATTTCCACAAGAGAGTCACTGCATTAAAACAATGATACAGGGGAAGTCATGGAAACGCAGGAGACAACAAATGTAGTAAAAAATATTATATGTTCCCAAAAGACTCATCCATGTGACTGGAGCCCATATAGCCAAAGATGGTAATAGGGGTCACTAGGAAGAACCCCTAATGGTTAGTATAAATGCCATGTACATTCAGTTAAGTTCCCAATGGGCCAGAGACAACCACAAACACGACAACCATTATTATCATTCCCAGTTTCTTATAGAAAAACTGGTTTGTATGATTGTGACATAAATGTAAGATTCGAGTAGTTGAGATGTGATCAGTAGAAATATGTCATTGTAAATTTAGTTTCATTCCATGTTATTAACCACTTTCTGTCCGGACACTTTCACCCTCTTCCTGTCCAGGCCAATTTTCAGCTTTCAGCGCTATCACACTTTGAATGACAATTGCGTGGTCATGCAACACTGTACCCATATGAATTTTTTTGAGACAGATAAAGCTTTATTTTGGTGGTATTTATTCACCACTGGGATTTTTATTTTTTTTGCTATATAAATAAAAAAAGTCCAAAAATTTGGAAAAAGTGTTTTTCTTACGAAATTTTGCAAATAAATAATATTTCATCATAATTCTTGGCCAAAACGTATTCAGTTATCTTTTTAGTAAAAGGGTGATGAAGATTTTTTTTTTTTTTTTTACACTGATTGCTTTTACACCCATAAAGGCTTGTAAAAGCAATAATTTCTCCCTCTCTCTGGCTGCATTCTTGCAGCCGTTGAGACATACTGTGTGAGCTGTGATTGGTCACAGCTTGTCAAGTGGAACAAGGCTGTTGTGAATAGCCTTGTACCATGTGACCTCTGTGATCATTCACAGATTTCACACGTAGTAAGCAATGATGTCAGAAGTGACTCTTCATGTGATCACTGATTGGCCAATCAGTGGTCACATGATCGGGACCTCACACAGAGGTCCTGTACGACGATTGGTGTTCCACTCTGTCCGGAGAACACAGCGGGCACCGAATCGCGGTGCAGCGCGCTCCCAGGGAGCACGCACAGTCCAAAATGGCGGGCACCGTTTATGAACAGCAACCCGCCCCTGGACTGCCACCGTCCTGCCGTTTATATACAGAGGCCGGACGGCAAGTGGTTAAAGATAAGTGTTCAGTATTCAGAGACATATGTTCAGCAATTAGCATCTGAAAGGACAGAGCAGCTTCAAGCTGGAGGTGACACCTAGATGTCAATAAAATGTTGTCACCTATGTAGGCAGAGATTTCCACCTTCTTGAAATCTAAAAGAAGAGCTCCAGCCATTTCAGCTTCGGGAAGCAGCAGGAGACCAGGAGAGGGCTCCGCTCTGTCTGCCAGCTCTGACTTATACCCACAGATCAAAGGAATCTATTTCATCTCTCATAAAAGCTAAAATATTAGTTGCAGAGATATGAAAATACTTCCTTCTGATTGGACACACTGTAGGCTACATCTGCATGTAAAACTGTATTTGTAGCCTCTATAGAATCCCAGAGAAACGCAGAAAACAGTTATATGGCGCCTGATTGCTACAGCTGAACAGCGATTGATACTGTCGCGATCAGACCGATGCACCAGATTGTATACAAGATTTGTATCTGCCTGTGCTTGGTCAGCCAGCTGGATTGGAGTCTCCCTCTAGTGGTGGTCAGAGGTAGTGCGGGCTGTGAAAGTGTATCACGGACAGTCATAAGTCATAAGACCAGCATATAAATGCTCAAAGTAAGTCCCCCTCATTCCCTCTTACACAAAGTCACGGCCGGACGTGCACGCCTCGGTTAGCTAGACGCTGTGGGTGTGCGGTTTGGATCCGTGACAATGATATTATCTCATTAAGGCCTGGGGGGTGGATTGCATAAAGTCATTCAATCCACATAGTTTCCTTGCGTAGTAGTTTTTGATCCCAATTGCCACCACGTGGATCTTTAGTAACTACCTCCAGAACAGTAAACTCACCATGTGTAGTATCAAATTTGTGATAAAGTCCCAGATGGTGGCTAATAGGAGTCACCATCTTGGCATTTGAGGAATAATATATATGGTCGTGTATTCTCTGATTAAACTGACGTATGGTCTTGCCCATATAGTAGGCTCCACATGTACTTAGCATAAGGTAAACTACTCCCCTTGTTTCACAATTGGCCTGGAATCTGGGGAGGAGTATTTCCCCATTGGGTAGCTGGAAACCTGTTCCCATTCAAACCGAAGGGCAATAACTACACTTCGCACAAGCAGTAACTCCGCTAGATGATATGGGGCCGTGGGCTCCTAGTGTATAATGGATAGATGTTACTGTATCTCTGATGGACTGAGCTTTCCGAAATAGTTTCAGGATAGTCTTGAGTATATTTATTTAGGCCATCCTTGCGCCCCCATATCTGTCCCTCTGGATGGCCCCTCACCTTCTGGGAACGTAGAGGAGGCCTGCCGTTTATGATTGGAGGGTTTATCGCTGCATGGTGCATGTTAATATATATATAAGTCCTATTATATTGTTATATAACCCTTTCTGTGTTTACATGATGTAATTTGGTATATTCAACATATGTATATATTTTCTAGATTTTACTACTAAGCCCCTGAAGAAGCGATTGTTGACGCAAAACATGTTGGGCCATTCTTCCAGCGGCTTAATGTCTCTCACTCCCCCCCCATAGGACCTTCTGGTGGTTACTGTATGGTTTATCACTAGTTCTGTTCCATTGAATATGGTGGGTTGTGGGACATTGTCTGCAGGGGACATTGTACAAAGATCTTATTTAATTGAAAGATGTTTTTCATGACTTATTGTCAAAATAAAACACAAGTGATTTTACTAATATGTATATTCTGTGTCTCTAAAGTCCATTTGCACTTCTTCCCCCCCCCCCTTTTTTTTTTATAGTTTGAATGTTTTGATAAATACCCAAAAAAAAACTAAAACTGTGCCTGTGTCAAAATATATATGGACCTAACTGTAGGTGTGACTTAAAGTTGCAGCGACTTCAAAGTAGTTTAATTCATTACTTTGATCTGACTTTCATGCAACTTGACGGCCATATACTTCAAAGTTAAAAGCGATACTAAAGTCTTGATTGTTTAAATAACAAACATGTCATACTCACTGGCTCTGAGCAGTGGTTTTGCAGAGAGCAGCCCTGATCCTCATCTTCTTCAGTCCCTACACAGGCGCTCCTGGCCCCTCCCTTCTGTTTGGTGCCCCCACAGCAAGCAGCTTGCTATGGGGGCACCCAAGTAGATGCGCTCCCAAGCCGCGGCTCTGTGTGTCCATTCACACACAGAGCAGCGGCTCGGCCCCACCCCCGTCCTCTTCTGATCGGTTGACTGGCTGTGATTGACAACAATGGGAGCCAATGGCTCCCACTGCTGCCTCAGCCAATCGGGAGTGAGAGTCCCTGGAGTACTGAGGTTCTCGTAGACATCGCAGGATCAGGATGGGGCTCAGGTAAGTGTTGGGTGGGGCTACTACTTTTAGAAACCCTCAAACATTGCATGAAAATCATATCTGAATGTTTTACATGCAACAATGGGTCCAACTTTGCAGAGGGACAAGTCACATCTAAGTCACACTCATCCAAAGTCACACAGCTCTGAAGTCGTACAAGTGTGAATAGAGCCTTAATATTATATACTGGTTGCAGTAGTTCCTCTGTTCCCACTTACTTTGTTTAGATCAAGGCTCTCCAAACTTTCAAACCATAAGACCAGTTTAATGTCCTTCAGACTTTGGGGGACCGGACTGTAGCCATTGTGAGTAAAAAAAAAAAAAAGGCCCTGACGTTAGTGGGGGGAAAAAAAAAACCATTTTACACCATCTTTAGTATCATTGGGAAGAATTGTGCCTCATTGTTGGTGACATTGGGATGAATTGTGCCCCATCAGTGTTGGTATCACTGGATGAAATCTGACCCAATGGCCGGATGAAAGCAAGTAGAGGGCTGCATCTGGCCCCCAGTTTGGAGACCACTGGTTTAGATTAACCCCTTCACCCGGCCGCACGCAAATGAGCAGCCTCCCGGCGTCTGGGCCTAGACGCCGAGCGGCCGTATGTAACAAAAAACATATGTGATGAGAGCGCGTGCCCCCAGCACACATGTGCGGTACTCACGGAAAGGTCCCAGTCGGCTCTTTCGATCGGGACCTTTCCCGATCATGTGACCGGCAGTGACGTCACGGCGGCCACATGACACTAAGCCCTGCCCACCTCCCAGCGCAGGAACTCCTCTTCACACCAGGACGATCCATCATGAAGGGGTTAATGGCTCATTTCCCAGTTATGGAATCTCCTCCGCTCTCAGAGGTCCTATCCTGGGTATTGGCACTGCGTATTGTCAAACCCACTCTTTCATTTCGTGAAGATTCTAATTCTCTTATTTACCTACAGGCTTAGCACAATATGCTGTTTGGGTCGGGTGGGGCCTTTTCTCATACATGCCTTTTATGAAATCCCTCAGTATATAGAAGCTTTCCAGATAGGTGAACACCCAGAACATGTCACAAATCCTTACCACACTATAGAGGTGTACACAGGGCCGTGTGTAGTGCAGGACAGCTGTGTGATTGGATCTCCTGTCCACAACTGTACAGAAGTGACAACTGGTAGCGATGTTCTGCTCTCCAGTAAGATTCTATAGCCAGCACTACACTTCCCGCTTCTTGTGCTTCTTCGTTGATTGGTAGTTCCCTCAGATCATGTGACTGCACTATAGAGGGAGCTCTCACTGATTTGTCCCCACACTGCGCCCCGTAATCCGGAAGTGTAACCAGGAAGTATCTCTGACTCTGTATTGTCCCATTCAGATGTGTACTTCGGCTTAGCTGGGAACCCGGGGACGGTGACAGGGGAGCCATGAGGGTCGGCTCCTCGGTGTTTGCTTGTTGCTGCCTGCTTGTACAAGTGGTGGGACTGGCTCTGTTCCTGCGAGGGTTTTTCCCAGTCCCTGTCCGCTCTCAGTCCAGGAGGAGCAGCGCCTCTGATGTACCTGCAGAGCCATCGGCAGCAGGTGAGAGGACGCAAAGCTAACAGCACGCCTCTGTGTTTGCAGGACTACTGAAATTCATGGTGCTGTATGAAGGAGAGAGAAGCTAAGGCTAGTCAATTGTAGAACACCAGCATTGACCTAGTTCTGCCCACAAAGATGTCATCTCATGTCAAAACATAGCAACCAATCAGCTTTTAGTTTTCATTTGCAAAGCTTAAAGTGATCACCTTTTCAGAAAAAAAAAAAAGATGAAGTAAGACCCTATCCCTGGTGCCGGTTGCCCAAACCTCCATGGATGAAGAGCTGTCAGTGCCCACCCAGCCAGTATAGCAGTCCAGGGATTGGGCATCCTTACTCTTCTTTCTTTCTTCTTTTTGCAGGGCTTCCAGGAGGGATCAGAGTGATTCTGGTCAGTGCCAGCATAGACCATCACTCTGATCTCTCCAGGAAGCCCTGCAGAAAGAAGAGTGGGGATTTCAGATCACTGGACTGCTGCATATGGCTCTGACAGCTCATCACGCACAGAGGTAGGTACAGTAGAGGCCAGGGTGGGGTGGTAAGGTTATACGGTGTTAGCTCACTTTGTCATTTTTTCTGAAAAGGTGAACTTACACTTTTGGCCTCATGCACACTGGGTATTTGCCCAGCTCTTCTGAATGCCTTTCACTTGGCAAGAGAAAAGCAGCGGTAAAAGCGCCTAAAGCTTCATTTTTGTAAATGCATTTAGGTGCATTAAACACTTGGGTGTTAAAGTGTTACTAAACCCACAACAGTACAATCAGTCTGTATATGCAGTAAAGCATGCTTTTAAACTCACTGTGGAACCTAAGGGGTTAATCCTCCGCATTGTGTAAAAAGGATTTAGAGGTAGAAAAAAAAAAGTCAAACACTTCTAAAAGTGGCATTTTTAACATCCAGTGTGCATGAGGCCCTAAGCTTTGCAAATGAAAACTAGATGCTGATTGGTTGCCATGCACAGCTGCTCCAGATTCTGTCTGCTCTACATTTGATTTTATATCACATCTTTGCAGATGGAACTAGGTCAGTTCTGAAGTTCTGTTTCTTTCCAGCATTTGGTTCTCTTTCCTTTATTACACAAGCACCATAAATACCATAGGTTCACACTTGTGTATTTCAGTGAATATTACATTTTGCAGAAACGCAGTACAAACAATTTAACATACCGTATTTGCCGGCGTATAAGACGGATTTTTGACCCTTGAAAATCTTCTCAAAAGTCGGGGGGTCGTCTTATACGCCGGTACACATGTTAGGGGGGCTGCGGCATTAAGTACAGGGGTTTGCAGGGGCTGACGTCTCTTACCTGGATCCAGTCCCACGACGATCCGGACCAGGAAGCGCGGCGTCTCCTTCAGTTCGCCACTGGATGTTCGTGCGGCTGCGCGGCTCCGCCTCCTCACGGTGATTGGCCGCCAGAACTGTAGCTCAGGAAAGGCACACAGGCGGCCAATCACCGGCGAGGGGGCGGAGCCGAGCGCCCCTGCGAAAATTGAGTGCCGGAGCAGCAGGTAAGTGCTCTGTGTAGAGGTGCTGCTGCAACCACATATGCTGGCTTTGCAGCAGCACCATACGAGAACAGGGTCAGCAAGTCTCAGTGGGAGGAATAGTGCCCCATCATTGGTGTCACTGATACCAATGATGGGGCACTATTCCTCCCACTGATACCAACGATTGGGCACTATTCCTCCCACTGACACCAACGATGGGGCACTATTCCTCCCCCCCACTGACACCAACGATGGGGCACTATTCCCCCCCCCACTGACACCAACGATGGGGCACTATTCCTCCCCCCACTGACACCAATGATGGGGCACTATTCCACCCCTCACTGACACCAATGATGGGACACCATTCCTCCCACTGACACCAATGATGGGACACCATTTTCCCACTGACACCAATGATGGGACACCATTCCTCCCACTTGATGGGGCACTATTCCTGCCACTGATACAATGATGGGGCACCTTTTGATACCAATGATGGGGCACTATTCCTCCCACTGATGCCAATGATGGGGCACCATTCCTGCCACTGATACCAATGATTATTCCTCCCACTGATACCAATGATGGGGCACTATTCCTCCCACTGACATCAATGATGGGGCACTATTCCTCCCACTGGTGTGCATTGGAAGAGGGGTAGTCTTATACGGCGAGTATAGCCCAAACACTACATTTTAGCAGGAAAAGTAGGGGGGTCGTTTATACGCCCAGTCGTCTTATACGCCGGCAAATACGGTAATTTCCTATGGATCTAGTTACCATATATGTGCTTTTTGAGCTGGTGCGTTTTTTGGAAAAGGTCAGGCACTTTTTTCACGCAGCAGATTGCGTTTTGCCTGTAACAGATTTCAATGGACCTGTAACAAAAACTTGTGTTTTTTATGCTGAAAAAAAAAAAGTATTGCCATGGGTGTGACTTTGATGCAACTTTGTATGGGTGCGACTTTGTTTGCACTTTAATGCAACTTTTGATGGGTGTGATTTTGATACAACTTTTTTACTTGCTAATGGGAAAGTATAACAGCTTTGTTCATGTAATGCAACTTTGATGGGACTTTGCACCCTCTGGCACTCAAGTTGCATCAAAGTTGCACACATGAACAGAACTGTTATACTTTCCTATTAGTAAAAAAAAAGATGCATCAAAGTCACATCTATTCAAAGCCGCACCCATCCAAAGTGGCATCAAAGTCAATACTTTCCTATTGGCAAACTCCCCCACAAAATGCATTAAAAAGTGTTCAAAAACGCCCTGTATACATAATGCACAATCTGCATAGATGTGAACCTAGCCTTAACAAATAACTATTGGGGGGGGGGGGGGGAGATGAAGAATTGGGTGGGGGGTGGGTGTACAGTGTTCACATTTTTTATTTTTTCTCAGAAGGAGAACCAACCAAATGTTTAAGTGCGACCAAGCTCAGGCATGTTTCCACGCACCAAATGTAGAGCAGCCCATTCATTTCAATAGGAAGAAATATTTTAACCACTTTCGGAGCAGCTATTTACCCATACATTGCTGAAATCCCGTCTCATAGACTTTCATGCAAAGTTGCGTTCCCATTGACTTTATTACAAAAACGCCCCCTAGTGACTTCAATGCAAAATCGCATCCCGTTGATTTCAATGCAAAAACACCCTCTCTTGACTTCAACGCAAAATCGCATCTCATAGACTTTCATACAAAGTCATGTCCCATAGACTCTAATGCAAAAAGTGACTTCAATACAAAATCCTTAGCCACATTAATTGAATTAAAAAAAAAAATTAAAAACTGTCTTTCGGTTTTCGGCCAAGTGCATCCTGAATTTTCGGTTTCGGCACCAGACTTTTCATTTCAGTGCAGCACTAATGTAAGGTATCATCGCAAACTTCAGATCGAGGGCAGTAATTCTAGCACCACACCTGCTATGTAAATCTAAAGTGGTAACCTGTAAAGGCTTTTAAAGTTTCACCTGTGGATATTAAAAATTTACGTAGTTTGTTGCTGTTGCATAGGCATGCACAATTTAAAGTGTGACATGCTTGGTATCTGTATACCCAGTGTAACATCTTTTATATCTTACCAAACAATTGGGTATTATAATGTGTGTGAATTAAAATTCAAAAAAGTGTTTTTTGTTTTTATTTTTGTTCTTTTTTTAAATTACGTTTGAAAAACCGCTGTGCAAATATCATGTGACATAAAAAATTGCAATGACCACCAGTTTATTCTCTAGGGCCTCTGGTAAAATAAATATATAATATTTGGGTGTTCTAAGTAATTTTCTAGCTAAAACTACTGATTTTTTTTTTTTACTTGTAAGCAAATAGTATCAGAAAAGGCTTGGTCTAATTGTGGTTAAGAATGGTAAAAGTAAAGCTTTTCTTCCATTTTAATGGCTAACTCCACCTTTTGCACCATTTACATATTACACTTGTACTTACAATTTATCAAGGTGCAGTTAGGACCTGCCACTCCACCTCCATAAGAGCATGCAGGGGTTTTTCTCCCCTGCAGCCACTGTCTCTTTTGAAATTTGCACTGCTGTGCAGGGCTCCACCCACACAAGTTCATTCATTCCCAGAATGAACTACAAGACTTGTAGTTCTCAGTAAAAGATGAGTTTGGCGACTGTCTAACTTAAAGCTTGTAGCTCAGTACAGAGAATCTGCAGGAGCCTTCCTAATATCCCGAAGTTTGGCTTTAACTGTTTCCCAAAGGAGTTACATTCAAGGCATGCCACAAATAATAACTCTCACAGTTGCTTGTGCTCTCAGCAGAACTGTCAAGCCATCAAATAGCTAGTGTCATAATGGATCACATGTGTAGCACCATGGCAACTGCAGATTAAACAGAGGCTAAGATGGTAGCTTCATTGGCAGTGAAGGATAGGAGGGTTTAGTTCCATTATTTTTTTAATTATTTACTTAGTGGTATGCGACATTTACAATGAAATGGTAACTTCACAGAACAGATAAGCCATACAAAATAACATTTGAACCATCAATGTGTGTGTGTGTGTGTGTGTGTGTGTGTATAATATATATATATATTTTGGAAAAAAATTCCAGGAGAGGTGCTCAGGAATTGGGGGAAATCAGATATGAGCCATTCAACTAGGGTCAGGGCATACCAAATTTTATATATTATGAAAAAGAGAAAAAAGAGGGAGAGGAAGAAGAGCGAGAATAGGAAAAGGGAAAAAAAAAAAGGGTAGAGAAGAGGGAGAGGGAATAGGTCGAAGGGGGAGAGGGGTGAAAGTGGCCCCCTGGGAGTAGGGAACAGCAGTAACTGACATGCTGAAAAAAGAAGAAACAAAAAAAAAATCCTTCAAGGTGTTAAGCACAGAGCAAAAGTTATGTACAGTATGTTGGAGGTATTCATCTGAGAAGTGGAAAAGGTCCCAGTAAAACCACCTGGTCTTATGCTCCTCTGATTTGTCCTGAATAGCAAAAGTCAGATCCTCCATCTGTTCAATGTTACTCACTCTTTCGAGCCACTGGGCCATGGTAGGGGCAGCCTGTTGCTACCAATGGCTCGATATGCACGCCCGTGCCGTGTTTGAGGAGAGATTTATGATAGCGCTTCTTCGACAAAGGGTTGAGGTTAAGGAGGACCACAGCTGGGTCATTATGCAAAGATTTGTCTGTAAATCTGTGATTTAGTCAAAGGACCATTGACAGTCTGGAGTTTAGGGCATTCCCAGACAACATGGACAATGGTGCCTGGGTGTTGTTCACAGTGCCAGCAATGGTCAGATTGATTGGGAAATAGTTTGGCCAAGGCTGATGGGGTTCTGGACCATCGTGTGGTAATTTTGTAGGAGGATTTCTGCTATTTACTACAGAGGGATGACTTCTGCACAAAAAAAAAGGATATGTTTCTTCTGAGGTTCTGTGAAACTAGTTTGCAGGTCTCTCTCCCATTTCGCTAAGAAGGGTGGGTCAATAGTGGCGTGAAAGTCTAACAAAGTTTTGTAACAAGTCGAGAAGGATCCAAGGATTGATCCCTCGCTGAAGCCGTGCCCCTCAAAGGAGTGAAGCTGCCGAGGGAAGAGTGTTAGTTTGGGCATAGAACACAGGAAATGTGAAAGCTGAATAGCTCTCCAATGATCTAATGCAATAGGCATTCGTTCATCTAAGAGAGTTTTAATGGGAATCCAGTATGCTGACCACAGGAAATGGCGCGTGAAAGCTCCTTTTCGAGACTGCGTGGTGTAAAAATCAAGACTGTAAGGAAATCTGGGTATCCAAGGATGGGCGTCCTAGGAGAAGAAAAACTGGACAAGAAAGATAGGCGGAAAAAACCTATCCATCTCCACAAGAGTGGGGCCAATCAATGGGTGAGTAGCCAAGTAGGTAGTTTGTGGCTTGCCCACCCAAAGTAATCCTGCCAGTGGGACGTTAGCAATCTCCTGTTCCAGCTCCACCCATAGTTTCAATTCATTGTGTCAACTCTAATCTACTACCCGCGTCATATGTACTGCCGTATAGTATAGGGCAGGGTCTGGAAATCCTATGCCTCCCTTGAGCTTTGGTCGCAACAGCAAGGCTCTGCTGATATATGGGCACTTGCCACACCAGATGAACTTCATGAATGCTGAACATACAGCATGGAAAAAGGGCTGGGGTAATTTGACAGCTAAGGCCTGCAACAAGTACAACAGTCTTGGCATTGTGTTCATCTTAAGTACGTTACGCGGCCGAACCTGGAAAGAGCTAGAGTGTCCCATTTCTTAAGGTCGGCAGCTAGCGTTGTCAGAAAGGGCTGGAAATTCAAAGGAAGAATGTCCTTCAAATTTGTGGGGGATTTTCATCCCCAGATATTGTTTCAAATAGGCTGCCCATTTTAATGGGAAAAAGGGGAGTAGGCTTCTCGGGGTGGAATCTGATTTTTGGAGGTTAATTTTAAACTTAGCTAGAGTGCCATATTGCTTTAGCTCTTGCAGCAATTAAGGTAAAGATGTTAGAGGTTCAGCAATATAAAATAAGAGATTGTCTGTGTAAGCTGCCACTTTGTGTTGGTATTTGCCTGCCTGAACACCTCTAATGTTTGGATTGTTTACATGACGAAGGAGAGGCTCTAGAGAGAGAACAAATAATAGGGGTGAAAAGGAGAAACCCTACCTGGTGCCATTTGAGTTTGCGAAAGTGTTAGATTCGAATCCGTTCACCTGGACTGTAGCCATAGGATTAGTGTATAAAGCAGACATCCAGGCCAAGATGGGTGTCGGCATCCCAACAGAGCGATTTGTCTCCTGGGGAAACCTTCAATCTACCCGGTCAAATGCCTTTTCCGCATCAGTGGACAGGTGTAGAAGGGGGATGTGGGATGTGGGATCTCTTTGCTTTCTCTTTACATTAAGTGTCCGGATGGTATTGTGTCTTGCCTCTCTTGTCTGGATGAAGCCGACTTGGTCTGTCATAATGAGATGTTGCAGCAGGACATTCAATCTAGAGGCTAAGATTCTGATAAATTTATTTATTTCAGGCACTTATATAGTGCCGGAAATTTACGCAGCGCTTTACATATATGTTATACTTTCACATCAGTCCCTAACCCTCAAGGGGTGTACAATCTAAGGTCCCTAACTCACATTCATATACAAGGGTCAATTTAGACAGGATCCAATTAACCTACCAGCATGTCTTTGGAGTGTGGGAGGAAACCGGAGTACCTGGAGGAAACCCACGCAGGCACAGGAAGAACATGCAGGAGGTACTGTGGCTGGGATTCGAACCAACGACCCTAGTACTGCCAGGCGGAAGTGCTAACCATTTAGCCACTGTGCTACCCTATAAATAGTTTGATGCAACAGTTCAGAAATGATATAGGTCGTTAACTGGAACAAAGCAATGGGTCCTTTCCTGTTTTTGGGATAATAATAGAGGCACGCAACATGTTTGGGGGGATACTGTTCTCATCCAGGATACATTAAAGGATGTGATAAAGTGGGACGCCAGGTGGTCCTTGTATGTTTTTTTAGTAAAGAAGTGTAAATCCATCAGGTCCAGGGGCCTTCCCAGGTTTGGTTTCAGCTACGGCTGATGCAAATTCTTCTACTGTAAGAGACTGGGAGAGCGCATCCTGGTCTTCAGGTGTGAGGGCAGGTAGATTAGTCTCACGCAGATAATCGTGGATGGTCACGGGGGAGGTAAATGTCAGACCGGAACATGAGTCTGATTCTATATTGTAGAATTGAAAAGCTTCTGCCAAGTCTAGGGAAGCATGAATTTTAGATCCAGATGGAGTGATCAAGTCTGGAATATAAGATTGGGTGTGTTTTTGTCCCAAAAAAATCCTTGGCTAATAAGCGGCCACATTTGTTACTGTATTTGTAAAATGAACGACGGGTTTTGAGCAATATATGCTTTGCTTTATACAAGGAGTGTTTCCTAATCACCTCTCTGAGCCGAACCAACTCTGCCTCATTAGTACGATTAGTAACTGAATGGAGTTATTATGCCTGGTAAATTATTTTTAATTGTGTTACTTGTGCTTTCCAGTAATATAGTTTATTTGTAATCTTTACAGGTTTATCATCCAACTGGACTCTGCCTCCACATCCTATTTTCAAGAGGGTTGTCATTTTTCTCATAGATGGCTTGAGACAGGACTTTATATTTTTGAAAAAAAGGGCAAAGAACACATGTCTTATATTACACAACTTATTCAGAAAGGAACAACACACAGCTTTATAGCAAGAGCAACTGCGCCAACTGTTACCATGCCTCGGATTAAGGTTCGTACTAGTGTTTGGACTTAATGGTAAATTTTATGGTTTGACGGACAATCACACCTTTATATTTTGTACCTCCTGTAAACGCTGAATTTTGTTTCCACATTCTAGGAAGCTCCTTTAAGCTATTAATTGTGACCTGTGGAAAATAATTCTTCAGCAGCCTTACATAAAGAAACAGGAGAAGGGGGTAGATGCTGTTTTCAAATTTACATTATAGGGTATTTGCATACAGTACTAAAGTATGAACATCAGATGCTCCTGCCATAAAAATCACGAGGATGGGCTGTATAGCATTTGCACTTACATGTACATATGCGTGTAAAAAATATATTCTAGCTTTTTTTTTATAATCAAGGGAGTGTGGTTTACGTACATATTTGCACTTTTGCAAATGTACGTGCCTGTGCACATAGAAATAGTGACCATCAAGACAGATTCTTTCTTTTTCACTGTTCCATACACAGTGCAGGTTTACATGCCCATATCTACAGGTCCATTAAAAACAATAGGATGCATTTAAATCAGTAAAAAAAAATGCTTGAATGCCAAATAACATGTCTGAAACCTGCTGATTGCCTGTGTCCATTTTGAGAGGGAGTAAAGATATGATCTATCCTAGAATAGGTTAAATGGACATTGGAGTAATATGTAAAGTCGCGACTGGAAGTATGAAATTCCCGCCAAACATCATCTAGGTCAAATTTGGTGAAGCAACTTCCCTAACTTAGTTCCCACTTTGGACAGTAGTAGAAGGCAGGCTCCTGGGGCCCTCATCTTATCCAAGAGCAAATCCAGAGCCACATCCGAGTCACCCCCCCAAGACCACAGTCTCCATAAAATGTGGAGTCAGTGTCTGGAGCAAGGACCAGAAAAATGCTATCTGATCGGTGTTGGGAGCATAATAAGTGAGGAAAGTCACCTGTTCCCCCTCTATCTCTCCTGCCACCAGAAGGTACCTACCATTAGGATCCCGAATCACGTTATGGGGCGAAAAGGAGAGCCGTTTGGATATACATATTGCGACACCCAGGGTCTTGTCCGGCTCGTTAGCCAGAAAAAATTGGGGATAATGACCTTGTAAAAATGCAATAGGGAAGTGAGTCTCCTGTCACAGAACTACATCTGCTCCCACCGAGTGGTAATAATGGAAAGCTTTTCTATGTTTTACTGGAGAGTTCAGACCCTGAGTATTATCAGAAAAAAACATAAGGGGTTTGGGTGTGTTATTGGAGGCCATGAGAAAGGTCAAAAAAAGAGCTGACTTACCCTAGAGAGGTAATAACCAGGGAGAAGCAGGTGCCGCTTGGGTGGATTTGAAAAATAAAAACACTAAAAGAAAAGAGAATTATTGCAGTGAAGTAAGAAAAGAAGAGAGAACCTGCAATCAGGGAAAGAGAAAAGCAGAATAATAGTAAATTCCAAAACATCATGAAATACGGTATTGGGAGGTCAATTGCGGGCGTACCGCGATGACCACCAAACTTAAACTAAATACGTCCACAAATTGTGGAAAAGGGTCTGGGTCCACGTCCACCACAATAAAAGAGGCAGAGGTGGAATCAGAGTGGGGTGCAGTACTCACGCATCCAAACAACAAGACTGATGGAGAACACAAGTCCCCCAGTGGTTCTGGATCCATAGCAAAGAAAACAAACAAGCTGATAAACGAAATATAACAGGACAACTGTGCAGGGGGAACAAAACTAAGGTCCGGAATTGAGAAAGGGTGAGGGACCCGATATACGAGACCCATATATCAGGTGAACAGGTAACATAAAGCGGAGCTCTACCCAAAAGGGGAAGTTCCGCTTTAATGCTTTGTCCCCCACTCCCCTTTAAGGATTGGCACCTTTGGGGAGCACGAGGGGGGGGGGGGTGAGTTGTCCTCCCTCTCCGTAGTCTTCTGGGACATGTGACAGGTCTTAGAAGACTACGAGAGGCCATTCACAAAGCGCAGTGCTTCTCGCAGTGAGCACCTGCCGCAATCTGTCACAGCCGGTGAGGATGCCGCTGGACCAAGGGACAGGTAAGTGACTGTATTTTAAAAGTCAGCAGCTACAGTTTTTGCAGCTGCTGACTTTTTTATTTTTATTTTTTTTTCAGCTGGAACTCTGCTTTAAGTAGAGACCAACAAACTCAGTCCACTATATCAGGGAGGTTGGGACTTTTGCTTCTGATGTTGTGCCATAATGGTGACAGAGGAGCGGTAGTTTCCAGTCGACTTTTGTCTTCCGGGTAAGGTGAGTGATGCTGTGGAGCTGTAGTAATTAAACCCAGGCTTAACAATAAGGATTCTTCCTCACTAAAGGTGGCAAATTAATGACAATCGTAAGGGGAACATCCAATGATATTTAATGTTCAGATCTTGGAGAGGTTTCAACATTGTTTTAAATGCTCGTCGTTTCTGTATGGTGACCTGTGAGATATCAACAAAGATTTGGATGTCATGACCTCCTATCTGAATATTGCGGTTTTCTCTGGCTTCCGTTCCTTAACCCTAAAAAATGGGGCTTCACAATAATGTCCCTGGGAGGCCATTTGGACAGGGGGCCATTAGGGCTCTATGGGCCCGATCCAGCTCAAGATTATAATCCTGTGCATTAGGAAGCAAGGAGTGCATCAGTTCCAGAACTGCTGCATGGGTATCAGTATAAGCCTCAGGAAGGCCTCAAATTCAAAAGTTGTATCTTTGGGACCTATTTTCCAAGTCGTCGATTTCCGCCAGGGCTTCCTCTAGTTTTATATGTAATTGAGACATCTGATCAGTATTCTGATGGTTCTGGATACCGTGGCGTCCAGCTTAGTTTCTATGGTATTGATATGATCACCAAGATCTTTGAATTCTTGCTTAACCTCAGTGGTGATATGTTTACTCGCCTTCTCTAAGCCTTGATCCAGCAGCGCTGAGAACCTCGCCAGTATGATAGGGTCGCCCGAATATTCAGACTGCGGCTGCTGAGAAAGTTGGGAGGAAAGGGCCTGTAGCTCAAGGCTAGCGATATTGTTACTTTGGTTTGTTATAATCTCTCCCATGGCCCTGTCCAATGAGGAGCTGGTGGGTTGTGAAGAGCCTCTACCCAGGCAATCATCCTCAGAAGAGGAGAGTGGGAGATCTTGCTCACCCTGCCTGGGAGAAGAGAAGTCCAAAGATACAGCTCCCCGGGCCGCAGTCTGCCATGTGTCAGGAGCTGGCAGCGGAGTCGTGGTGGCCATTTTGGATTCGGCTCGGTCTGAGACTGGGTCTCCTGGAGGCGCACCGTGCCGATTTATGTCTCCCCTTCACCATAGGGGGGATGCCAGTGGTGCTGAGGGCTGGCGGGAGGCGGTCTTGAGCGGCTGTGTCCATACCCCAACCCCATTCCCCCCCGGCTGCCAGTATTAGTGGCAATTGGCCAGTGTGTGGCAGAGAAGCAGAGTCAAGCAGCCGCCATCTTCCGCTGCATGCATGTGCCCCTATTTTGTGATATTTTATTAAAGTTTTAACAATGAAAGGCACTTTCTTTGACACGACAAACACAAGGTATTAATTAGTCCAAATTATTTCAGTAACAAACTGCTACCTGGGGTGTGTTTTTGCTCACAGGTTTTTGGCCTTCCTGACGGCACTAGTCCCAGACTCCAGACTGTAAGCTCTGGGTTGCACTATTTGCACTTTTGCACTAATACTTATCTACTTTGTCTCAGAAGCCTTATTTTCTCACTAGATCAAGATTTGTGAAGGCTGATTTTATAAAGCTTGTCTGCCCATGGCGAGAGCCTTGTTAGCTGGATTGCTTTGACCTTCTATCATTTGGAATTGAGCTAGGTAAGGCCATGTGTGTCATGTAAAGATCCAGCACTGCAATGGAAATCTGCCTATTTTGGTAGGTCTTCTGCTTCATCATAGGTCATAAGTGTAAAAAATATTGAATGTAAACGTCAGAATATATACCCGTTTGCTTAAAATATGTGATTCCAGTAAATAGCAGATAGGCAGCATCTCCATAAAAAACAGGAGTGAAGAGTACTTGCATTTCAGCTCCAGTACAGGCCTGTTTTCCTCATGCCTTAAGCCAGCCATGTATGGATTCTAATTTAGCAGGTTCAGAAGGGACTAGTTGAATTTTGATCCATGTTTGAACAGGCTGGTTGTACACAGGTTGATCTATTGATCGACTTGTCTACAACCAGCCTGTCAGGTTTTTGCCAAATGACCAGGCTCCCTGCTGTCAGAATACAATAGCACAGAGGGAAGGATTCCCTCAAGCACATTGAATGTGTGGATGGGGGAATCGGCCCTTGAACGAAAAAAAATGAATCATGTGTGGCAGCCTTAAAGTACTATGTTTGTTTTTTTTTTCTTCACATCTAATGCCTAAAGACCTGTTCACCCTATGTGCAGTTACCTGCATTCAAGGACAAACACAGGTAACTACAATGACACACAGTAAACAATCACTTATGTGTGGTGTCACGTTCACACCAGAATATGGCGTTTGTCTGCATTCCAGAGCTGTGCTATAATATGCAACATTTGTGTATATAGCACTGCCCTGGATGGCCCTTCCTGTCACTCTGCGCTGCTGCGCAGTGATGTGCATAAGATGTCACTTTGTGTACTTCACATAAAGTTCACTCAAAAATTAAAAAGTGAGCTGTGTGATGCAATAAAATGTGCATAGCACTGCCCCTCTGTCGCTCAGCTCGGCAGCTCAAAAAAACTGGTACCTGCACACCGGTTTAGTGTGCATACAGCAGCATTTTAGGTTACAGGCTAGTGTGAATGGGCCCTTATGTGAAGTAATGATCTTTCATGTTATTATGCATAGTGTGTCTCCATTGCTTATATGCTTACACGCTTGTTAGGACCTCTGGCATGTTCGGGTCTGGTTTGGAAGCCGTACCCTTTTGTGTACCAGTGTTTTGCTGTGCTTCTATAAAGAGACAGAAAAACATATAACATGAATCCAGGAACACACTACAAACAAACAGCAACTGCCCAAACCTATAACTGGCCTTTGCAGCAAGAAGGAAAAGGAAGGGTGACGCATATCAAAAACACCAAAGAAAAATTCCCAGCTCAACTTACCAACCAGCCAGCAACCAAGCTAATTATCCTAACCGTTCACGTTAAAAACAGGGGTTTAGTTTGCACACATTTGCAAATACATGCGTAAGCTGCAGATGCTGTTCACGCCCCCCAGTCTTAACTGTATAAATTTTGAGAGCCTCCATAGTAGAAGTACATGTTTAATAATGGATAAATTTAGGGCAGGTATGCCAGGAGGGAGCCCACCTCTCCTTAAAGGCACAGGGGTGCACTGGACACCTAGCACATAGCACAATGGCAGCAAAGGTGTCCAGTGCATCCCCTCATCAATATATCAACAGTACAAACAAATAGCAACTGCCCCAACCTATAACTGGTCTTTGCAGCAAGGGGCGACATGGAAGGGCAACACACATCAAAAACAAGAACTTGCCGCAATGCACTGCAAAGATGTGAAGGTGTGATTTAAAACACAGAACGTGTTTGCATTTACAACAATTCCATTACATCACAATAATTGAACAGAAAGTTATAAGTATTTATTTATATTCACTTGTCCAGCACTTCATGTTCTGCTTTATTTTCCAGCAGTAGGTTGGGATTATCAGCCTATGTAGGGCCCAGTGATCACCTCCTGTCCCTGTGATCAGGACTGTGCAGCAGGCTGAATCCATTTATAGCTGGGAGCAGAGAGCTTTGATTATTTGAGTTGGTCACAGGTTGCTCTGATGTAAGTGTGCTATATTAAATTATTGTTTTATCGCACATTTTTGTGGCACCCTGCTCTTTTTTTTTTTTTGCATGTCTTTGTGCTAACTTGCAGCTAATGTTTGCACAGTGTTGTAAGCAGTTAAAATGTCACCGGTTGCTTAGTTTACACTGTAATTGACAGTAGACACTCCTAATAATGATTGCTAACACAGGCAGTGACCTCAGTAGTGCCACTATACTCCCCCACAGCTACAGAAGCTGGATGGAGAACAGTTCCTAGGGGATTTTGGTGTCACCTAGCATTTCCAATTGGCTGCCGCTGCTAATCGACAAGAGTTTTCCAGCATGTCCTTTCAACAGAAGTCACTCTTAACTATTGACTTCTGTTGAACAGGGAGGGCCACACACAGATCAAAATTAGGCCAATCCCAGCAGAACTGGCCAAGTTTTGTTCCATCTATACCCAGCTTTAGTAAAAGGATATTGGCTTTTTCTTTTTCCCAAATTGTACACGTTTCTTTGCAGTTTAGGTCTCCTGCTTTTGTTTTGTATCACTCTGTTCAGAGGTTTATATACCTGATGCCATCTGTAATATTCATGGTTAGCCCTTTGGGAGGAGATTTCTCCAGGCTTATCTTCCTCCCTATTCTGGTAATTTCCCACTTAGCTTTTCATGTGTTCTGGAAGATGATTTGGGAAATCTAGAATTACTGACTAGGAATTATTTATTTCCAGAATTCTTCCTGCACTGCAGGATTCCACCTTTCTGTTCTATTTTTTTTTTTTTTTGCTTATGTATATGTTTTGCTTCATATTATGTCCTTTGACCATTGACCTGTTGAGCAGGACTTCGTTTTGAATGGGTTTTTGGATGAAGCATTTCTTGTTCCTGATAGACGAAGTGCCTATCTTTTTCATGTGCTGTCCTGGAAATAGAGTAACTGAATTTTTTTTTTTTTGTAACAATCTTTGTTTGATCAGTGTACCCTTTACATTATTGCTGTGTAGCCATAGACACTTAGCACTACGCTTTACTGACAACATAGTGATTGTTTCAAGCCTGTGTCGTGTTTTGCATAGCAAATCTTTTCCCAATGTCATGTCGATACATCACACGTTACCATGTGCAGCCTCTCCAACAATCCCTAGACTGCATCTTTTGAAACCGTATCATATGGTCTGCCTTTAGAAAAGAATTTTAAAGTGATTTTTAAGCTTTCTTTCATTAAAATAACAAATGTTCTATTTACCTGCTCTGTGCAATGGCATTGCACAGACCAGAATCTCCTCTTCTTAGGCCCCTTGCCATCAGTATTGGCTCCTCCCCTCCTCCAAGTGCCCATCTTAGGAAGCCGCTTGGGGACTTGCCCCCGAGCTGGGCTTTTTGTGTCTATTCAGACACACAGCCTGGCTCAACCTTCCCCCGCTCTTTGCTCACAGGTTTTGACAGACAACAGCGGGAGCCAAGCCTGAGAGGAGCTGCTGCAGATTTGCCCATCGCTGGAGGGGAGGCTACAGGGGGAGCTGCACGTAAAAGGTTTTTTACCTTAATGCAGAGAATGAATTAAGGTAAAAACCATTGTTTTTACAATCATTTTTAAGCTACTTTGTAGTGTTTGAAGTAGATACATGTATCAAGGGCTTCTGTACTGAATGTTGTCTTTATTTTGGTGCCTTAAATTCTGCTTTAAGAAATTGTTTGTTTGGTCAAATCCATGTTATTCTAAATCTAACCAATTCTATGATTGCAGGCCTTGATGACTGGCACCATACCTGGGTTCATTGATATCGTCATGAACCTCAACTCTCAGGAACTGCAAGAAGACAATTTGATATGGCAGGCAAAGCAGGCAGGGAAAAGAATAATATTTTATGGTGATGATACTTGGATGAAACTTTTCCCCAAACAGTTTGTGGAGTATGATGGAACAACATCCTTTTTTGTTTCAGATTTTACTGAGGTATGTTGGTTGCTTTAGTAAATATATTTTATATGTAAGCTACGTTTCTAGGGTTTGACAAATTTTAAGTCGCATTCCTTTTTTTTCATTTTGGACATAGTGGTTTTTATCGCAGTCTGTGTTACATAGGTTGAAAAAAAGTCTAACTAGTTCAACCAATAGAAAACCCCAATATATGCAATTTTATACCCACAGTTGATCGAGGAAGTCAAAACTCCCCCCCTCCCCCAAAAAAATAAAACATGATCCAATTTGCTTCAGTGGGAAAAAAAAATCCTGATTCCCCAGGAGGCAATCAGATGTTTTGTAAATCAACTACTCCTGACATTATTACCTATAAATGTTAATATCCCGTTATATTTTGTGCATTTATGAATGCACCCGTCTCTTTTTTTATAACTATGTGCCCGATGCCAGTCAGCATTGGTTAAGGGTTCTTTTTCCCATTTTTTTTTTTTTTTTGTGTTCCACTTGAATGGAACCCCCCCCCCCCTTTTCCAAATACTGAACGACGTGGGCTTTGAGTTAGGATAGCATGGGGGCTGCCATCTCGCCACTCCTTGCAGTAGGCTTATTAGCCTGTATGCTGGATTGGCTCATTCAAGTTCGGCACTCCTCCATAAGCTAAAGATAGAAATTCACCACTTTAATGTTGGGCAAATTTCAGAATGATTCTACATCCTTTGAGTGATAAATTGGATGAATAGTACAGTAAAGCATTTTTCTATTGAAGTACAGATGTTGTGTGAATCCTGTTTAATGAAATTTACATATGGATGAGTGAAAACCACTGTGATCAGTAGAGGGAATGTAGAAAATCAAATCCTGGTTAAAAAAAAGGGAGAATGCCGAGTGACTGCCAGAAAGTCAGAACTTCTGACCTCAATGCTTTAAAGCGGAACTTAACCCAAAAGGGGAAGTTCCACTTATTTGCATCTTTTTGCCCACCACTGCCACATTTGGCACTTTTTGGGGGGAGGGGGGAGCAGGTACCTGTTTATGACAGGTAACCACTTCTGGTCAGATCGCTGCGGCGATGTTCAGCCCCTTCTCCTTCACACACACATCACAGGTCCCAGAAGACTGCGGGACCATTCACAAAGTGCAGCATGGCTCAAGCATGTGCAGTAGGAAACCGGATTTAAGCCCTCGGTCACATCAAAGCCTATTTTGAAATCGTGAGACTTACTGTGAAGTCGCACAATTTCAAAATCGGCTGATCTGCCGATTTCAGTTGCGATTTGCAAGACATCTGACACAGATGTCTATGCAAATCGCAATAAAAGTAGTGCATGCACTACCTTAGAAATCGGTGCAGCTCCGACCAAGTCGGAACCGCACCGATATGACCTCTCTAATAGTGAACGATAGAGTGCGACTTGGCATATGATTTGCAAGTCACAGGGCATGCAAATCGCATGTCAAGTCGCACCCGATGTGACCAGGGTGTAGAGCCGTAAAGATTTACTGCCAGTTTGCCTTACCTAAGATTCTGGCACTAACACCTGAAGGAAATTGAAGATTCGGCTTGGGTGAGGTCCTCGCTGGATCCCTGGACAGGCAAGTGTCCTTATATTAAAAGTCAGCAGCTACAGTATTTGGGGAGACTGGAGCTCCTCTTTAAAGATCAAGGAGTTAGAGGGTACTAAAGTGTTTGGTGCTGCATTACAATCAAGAAAATAGTGTTTTCAAAAATAGTAGTCAGCCGCTTACATATTTTTTTTCAGAAGATAAATGTTTGTTTTCAGAAAATGTTTTTATTAATATTATGTATATACTGTAGCTGTATACCTGGTTGTTCTGTTTTTCCCTAGGTTGACAACAATGTAACCAGACATTTGGATGATGTTTTAAAGAGAAATGATTGGGATATGTTGATTCTTCACTATCTTGGACTAGATCACATTGGACATCTGACTGGACCACACAGTCACTTAATTGGACCAAAACTTTATGAAATGGATATTGTCTTGAAAAAAATTCACTCTGCTCTCTTTTGTTAAACGTGAGACACTTATCAATGCTGCTTTTAAAGAAATATATTATCAGTGTGCACACATTTTGAGTTATTATTGCAGTGTGTGTGTGTGTGTGTGTGTGTGTGTGTGTGTGTGTGTGTGTGTGTGTATATATGTATGTGTATATATATATATATATATGTGTGTGTGTGTGTGTATATATATGTGTGTGTATGTGTGTGTATATATATATATGTATATGTGTATATATATATGTGTGTGTGTGTGTGTGTGTGTATATATATATATATATATATATATATATGTGTGTATATATATATATATATATTTTTGATTTTCCATATCCTGGCAGAGCTCTGAGCTCCTCTATAATGTGTTTACAGAACTCAGTAGATAAAGCTGAAATGTACACACAGAACTGAATCAGAGGGGAGACTCCTCCCCTCCTTAATTGGCTTTGTAGTGGTGGCTATGATGGCAAGGAAATCTGTAAAATTCAGTGGGCATATCTTACCACTGGGGTCTCAGAGAGATACAAGAAGGTTCCAAACTATCAGTACCTACTTGTATTTGCACTAGTATCCTTTTGGTGTTTGCACATTTGTTGTACTTCTTTGTAAGCTTGAAGGACCTTTCTTGCTTTCTTCCATTCCTTTTTCCTCTCTCTCCATTCCAATTTATATATTGTTTATTGTTACATCTTTTTGTCTCAGACTTTTTCTGATATTGAAGCACATTTCAGAAATCAGAGTGTATGTTTTATTTACTAAAATATAGGATGAAGATTCCACTCCAAGTTTAATTGTTGTCTGTGGTGACCATGGTATGTCAGAAGTGGGTAGTCATGGGGGATCATCTGAAGAAGAAGTACAGACTCCACTTGTTTTAATAAGTTCAGCATTTCAAAACAAAGCTGGTATGTTGTATATCTCTGGCTGTAACTGGTCTTTTTTTAAACTGAAAGTGAAGCATTAAATGTGTTGCCATTTTTTGTGAATGGGCATGACTCTTTAAAAATACTTTTCCATTGTAAGTACCTTTTGGAAAGTACTATGAAGAATGCATTGGGCTGATACTCAGGATCATGACAGATCAACAAATATAGACCTTATCACTGACCCCAATTCATGATTACCCAAAGTACATGAATTTTGCCAGTAACTTATGGCTAATGTAACCGCTTTTAACTGAGGTGGTGGCAAAGCTTAAATGTGATGATTTCAAAGCTACACTGATTACCTGTAAATTAATGAAGATTTGGGGTAAAGTGGAGTGGAATATAGGTTGTTGCTTTTTTGACATTCAGTCTGCAAGTTTTGGGTAACAAGTTATGCTAATGAGATGTGTGTTGTTTCTCCAGATGCATTGTAAAGTCATCCTGCAAATGGGGAATAATAGCTTTTGCAACCAGTCATTATGAACAGGAGGAGACTGTAGATGTGCTCATATAATGATCTTTTCTGTCAGGTCTGCGTTCACCGTATGGCCTTCTCATTCATCCTGCACAAACAACACAGCTTTGCTGTTGATGAACTGTGTCTTTTGGATGCTACTTTAAGAGGTGTTTTACCAAATTTGTTAGGGCCATTTCACACCAAATGCAGTCCAGTGCATTTGTTTTCTGCATAAAAAACACATGGCAAGTAGGTTATATGGGTTCCAGTGGCATAGTTCACATCAGTGCAGTCAGCTCCAGGGCGTTCCAGTTCCAGAAAAAAAAAAGTATAACATGTTGCATTTTTTGTGTAGTGGAATGCAGTAAAACGCATCAAAATGCATAAAAAATGCCTCAAAACCACACCAAACCCAATAAAGAAAAAAAAAAAAAAAAAACAGAAAAAAAGTATCTGGAAACACAAAAAAAAACGCACCATAAGGCATTCAAAATGCGCATGCAGAAATGCATCTAGAATGGCGACAGCTCATCTTGACAGCTCATGATGTGGTAGAGAGGCCTGGTCTGCAGATATACTGTATGCAAGGACTGCATCTTGGCCACAGCTGTCACCTTTGATTGAGCCTCACTGCTCCTTGGTACTGCCTCTAAACTTTCTGACTGAATAGCTGATTTTGAAGATAAACTCTTCTCTCAGTATGCTTGAAAACATCTGTCATTTGTTGTCTCTATAATGTAGATTATGAAAGCAGTACCCGAGAAAGTGTAAAACGACACCTAAATGGCTTAGGTTTATACAGTATATTTTGAGTTTCTATTTGTGACTATGAAATTGTTTCCATCTTGGCATAAGACTTTTCATTTGACATTGTTATATTGCTGACAGAACTGCATAATGTTTGATGATTACCCCTGAATTAATTAGCTTTCTCTTTAGGTCAATTTACAGTACCAGAGACAATCCAGCAGACTGATCTGGCTCCAACCTTGGCGCTGGGCCTTGGGCTGCCAATTTCAAGAAGCAGCTTAGGAAAACTTATAACTGAGGTTGTAGATCACAAGGAACAATGAGAGAGCAATTGAGATTTCTTCATTTAAATGGACATCAGTTGTGTAAACTTCTGAAGGAGAACTTGGAAGCTTATGAGAAAGGTAAAAAAAAGCAGAAGAGTAGCTTACGTGTATGAAAAACTAGTACTGATTTATTTTGGAAACTTTTATAGCTGTTTATCAGCTGTTTTGGAAAATAACTCCCTTAATGTTTACAGTATGTACAAGGTGACTTTAACAGCCTGTATATAGAATTATTTTTATAATCATTAATATTAATAGATGAAGGCTTAGAACAATTTAAGAAGGCGGAAAAATATCATGAAAATTGGATCAAGCTGTACTTGGAAGGAAATACATCTGAAGTCCTCACTAACCTTGGCCGAAAAGTTCTCAAGCAGTATTTGGAAGCATTGAAAAAGTTGAGTTCTACATTAAGCAAACAGGTGGCAGAGTATGATATCTATTCAATGACTGTTGGTGCTATCATAACGTTAGAGGTAAGGATTGACATCACATATACAAAATCTGATATTTTAATTAAACTGTTTTCTAAGGTGGTATTTGTAATCGTCTGCTTGAAAATGGAATGTGTGGTCACCAACCATTATTGATTTACGGGCAGCATTCTTCATCTATCGGACACTAAATCGCCATTCTGGGCAACATAATATATATGTGTTTTAATACTGGCACTACAAAAAAAAAACAGCTTTTCAGTGCCAGCACATTTCACAGTATGCACTTATTTTGCCCTTTAAAAAAGAATTGACAGCATAAGACTTTCCTGCATCGTTTTCAGTGTCCTGTTGCTACCATGTTATGTGACTACATCACCAACTTGAGCAGGAGCAACAATACCACCTTGTAGGCTTTATTTTTTCTAATAGGAAACAGATCATCAGAATCAATCGACCTGGCTAAGATGTTTTTATCTTAAATTTACAAATACAATTTTGAAAGTAAAGGATTTTAAAGGGTTAGTCTACCTAAGTGATAGCTTGCTTACTACTCTGCATGTGATCACTGATTGGCCAATCAGTGATCACATGATTGGGACCTCGCACACAGGTCCTGTACAATGATCGGTGTTCTACTGTGTCCGGAGGACACAGCGGGCACCCGCCCCTGCACTGCCACCGTCCGGCCGTTTTATATACAACAGCCAGACAGGAGGTGGTTAATGCAAGTTTTGTTTTTTTTTTCTGTACTGACCCATGTTTTCTTCTGGAGACTTGATTTTGCTTTAAAGCCCAACTCAAGTCAAAGATTTTTGAGTCCAGCAACCCCCCTGATTTCTTGTCAGGACAAGAAATCCTTCCAGTGTGGACACAGACTGACAAAATACTTATTAACTTTTTTGGTCAAATGGAGAAGGATTAGAACATCTGTGATATTTACTGTTTGTGTTTTCTTGTCTCAAATAAAACAATTTCGGCTGGCAATAGTCTTTAATTATGTAAATTAATAAAATATTTACTGTATGTTTGCAGATTTTTTTACTACTTTTGCTGAGTGTTCCGAATGCTCTTGGAAACAAAGCAGAGTTTGATTTGCCTCTGGGATCACCACTTTTCTCACTGTTTTTCTACCTGACTTGTCTATTGCTGGCTGCTGTCCATGTCATTGTATGTACATCTTCAGAAAACACATGCTTTTTCTGTAGCATATCTTGGCCGCTTGCAATGGGGATTATGGTACTCGTCTCTGCACTTCTTTGCATTATTTTATCCATTTTTGGGAAAATGATACTGCATCTAAAACCATCGAATGAAGTAAGTAAAATAACTAAAGTTAAATGGTATTTAATTATATTCAACCACTCTTTGCACCCATTGCAGGCTTGCTCAAATTGATTTTATGACCACTGATGCAATACAAAATAATCCCTAACAGAGAATGGTCAGGTTAATTTATTGCTGTATATTCTTATATGTTCACCACAGGACACAGGAGAATTATTTCTTAGACTTTTAGTTTATGTTGTACCTCCAGGTAATTTGGACACTTGACATATGGCAAAGCTTGACACTGCCCAACAATAACCCCGATTCCCCAGTTCCAGCACTGTCTCAGTTTTTTGCTAGTGTCCATAGATGATGGTCCTATCTCTCTGCTGAGATGGGCTTTTCTGCATTGATGCATATATTACTACTTTAAACTCCCTTTTACTTTTGACAATTGGTGCTCTAAAGCGGTGGCAGTTTTTTCGGATCAGACCTATGGATGTTTCTGTCCCAGAGGAACAGTATCCAGACCCCGGTGGAAGAACAGGGACAATCTTTAGGGTGCATTGGCACTGAATCCTGAATGTGGCACTCCCTTTTATCAGGCGAATGCATCTGTGAGTGTTAGCTGGCAGGGGGCTTTGCAGGCCTTATCCTGGAGAAGGTGAAGACTGAGCCCATTCTCCAGCGCTGCTTCGTGTTTATGTAATTGCCCAATTGTGGAAGGTCCCCTGGTGCTATCTCTGTGTCTTTTAGGTGTTCGACTGAGAGGTGGGCGATGGGTGTTTAAATCTATGGTCTTGACAGGTTCCAGCTAACCCATGCCAATATAGGGCGCTCTCGACATGTTCGTACAGGGCACACCCTCCACCTTGTGTGGACACACTGATTCCTTCTTGGCTGTTCAGTGAAGGTCGCCTGTCTTTTGCACATGCACGGCTTGGTGGCACTACTGCATAAGCACTACCGCACTCCTGTGATACTTTGTATGCTCAGGTGCCATTTTGGAACCTCTCCCTTTTCCCCTGGCACACTAGCCCAGAAGGATAAAGTTTACTGAGCTCCCACACCGCACAGGCCACGACACAGATGGACCCTGAAGCCTCTAGGTGGTGGGACACTGCAAGGCTACCCCTGCCCCCCCTCTCCTTGGTGCTAGCGCTTATGATTGCGAGTATTGCACACACTTTTGGGCCTGGCAGGCATGACGGATCTGGCAGTAGGGGAATTGGGACTAGGACTTCTCATCTTAGGAGACAATCTTGCCTCCACAAATTAATTTTTGGGGCAGCAAACTGACTCAACTTTTTTTTATTTTGCCCAGGCCTCTCATGTGTCTTTATCTCAGTGGTCTGCAGTGAGTGTTCTTGCAAAAGCGGTCTGTAAGAACTGAATTGTCACCACCAAAACCTTCTGGGTGTAAGGTACCAGGATTGGGGACTTCAAAAGCGCCCAAACCAACCAAGTCTTTTCTGTTGCATCCTCATACCGAACTGGACCTGTACAAGAACTGTGGCAATTGGGACAAGGTATTTGTGCCCCCTAAGTGGTTTGTGCAACAGTACCCAATGTAAGACCGTTTCTGGAAAAAGTGGTCAGCCCCTACTCTGGATAAGACCCCTATTGTACTAGTGCACAATGTGCTGATGTTTAAGGACACTGCAGATGAAAAATTTGAGTCGTTTTTTTAAAGCATCATTTTATTTGGCCAGTGTGGCCATGTAACCCACTATTGCATCCATGTTCACAGTGCCTAAGCCATGTACGTACTATTTTGGATCTGAAGTGTTTACACATTAAAAAGTTGCACAGTCTATAGGGTCATTGGTTGCTTGCATCCATCTGGGGAATGTCCTGTCCTCAGTTGACATCAAGGATGCCTACCTTCACATCCCTATAATTCTGTTTTATCAGTGCTACCTGAGATTTGCAATGGGGGAACAACATTTTTAGTTTGTGCTCTGCCCTTTGACCTAGCCACATCGTGAGTGTTTACAAAGTTAGCTTTACTGCAAGCCAGGAGAATCCCCATTCTGGGGTAACTGGATAATCTATTTCTGTGTAAGCAATTGAGAAAAGGCCTCATGGCCAATATGCAGCAAATAATGCAAGTCCCACAGAACTTCGGCTGGCTCCTCAATCTTAAGAAGTCGACCCACAAGTCATCATACCAAATGGAATATGTGGGCCTTGTCCTGGACACAGCTCTCGCATGAGTTTTCCTTCCCCAGGAAAAGCTTTTTAACCCATCTATCCACAATGCAGGAGTTGAGTTCCCTGGGAAGTTTTTTTTTTTTTTTTTTTTTTTTTTTTTTTGCTTCTGCATGAGGATTTTGGGGTTGATGGTGGCATCCTCCGATACAGACCCGCATACGCAGTTTCATTCAAGACTGCAACTCAACATCCTGACAATGTGGGACAAACAGACTCTGTCCTTGGATCATCCCATGTCTCTGAACAGCAAGACCAGGTTATCCTTGCAGTGGTGGCTATTCAGCCCGGCACTGGAATCGGATAAATCTTTATCCTTGTAGTGTGAAACATATTGTGAGGGAAGCCAGCCTGTCAATCTGGGGAGGAGTCCTGGGCTCCCTGTCAATTCAGGGGATGTGGTCGTCAGAGGAAGCTCCAGATGCTGATAATCATCTTAGGGCCATTCAGCTTGTCTTCAACACTGGACCCGCCTGTTCCAGGAATGTCAGTGAGGGTGCAGCCCTTCAACACCATGGCAGTAGTGCACATACATCACCAAGGCAGTACCAGAAGTCAGGCCGCTTTTCTAGAAGTGCAGATTTTTTTCAGCCTTGGGCGTAACTCAGTGTCCTGGTGGTACACATCCCTAGCATAGAAAATGAGCAAATGGACTTCCAAGTGTAGATGTAAATACATCTAAACTCAGACACAAGCTTGGCATATTTGTGTCCAGGGATCCTTGGGTTTTCGGCTTAGATACCCTAATCACTCCAAAAAAAAATCAGTTCAGCCTGATTTATGCATCCCCACCCTTTTGGCCCTAAGCTCCTGCCTCATCTCCTTTGGAGGTTGGAGACGGAAGGAATTCCGGTGTTTCTCTTTGCGTTGAATTGGTAAAGAAGGATGTGGTTCAGTGACATAGACTCTTAGTGGCTTTTCCATGGGCTGTACTGGAAAATTGAGACTTTCTCTCTCAAGGTCCCATATTCCATCCCGATTCATGTTCACTTTCTTTGATGACTTGGCTGTTGAAGCCCATATCCTGAGGGACAGGGGTCTCATGGACTCCACAAATCCTACTTTGCTGAAGGCCAGAAAGCCTGCGTTTCATACATGGAAAGCATGTTTTGCTTCCTGTGAAAAGGGAAAACTTAATTCCAGAAACTACTCCTTAGCATGGGTTTTATTTTTCCCTCAGTCAGGAATGGAAGAGTCCTTAACCCTGAAGATTATAAAAGGTCAGGTTTCTACCATGATGTTGCTTTTTCAGAGACTGCTGGCTGCCCATTTTTGATCGGAGACTGTGTGCAAGGGGGTGACTCACATTGTCCCACCAGTACGTTTCTTGCAAACTCCATGGGACTTCAATCTTGTATTGTGAGTCCTTCAGATGCAAACAACTTTAACACATACTGAATGTTTCTCTCTTTTCTATCATGCTAGGTTGCCTTTCTCATGGCTATGTTGTCACCTCGGTTTGGAGGGTGTCTGGGCTTGTGGCTTTGACCTGTAAAGAGCCTTTTTTCCTAGTTAACAAGAACAATCCTGATTATTATTATTATTATACAGTATTTATATAGCGCTAAAAAGTTTGCTCAGCGCTGTACATCATAGTGGGGGACAGTACATGAGACAATACAGTAACAAAACAGAACACGAGGGATTCAAGGGCCCTGCTTTTTCGAGCTTACAATCTAGGAGATTACATAATGTCTTCTTGTCTAATGCGGTCTAAGCTTTTCATTTGAAGCAGGACATAGTGTTGCCTTCCTTTACTGTGGCTGCAAAACGTTCCAACGAGATTGCTCTTCACTGCATGGATATGGTTAGGGCTATGCAAGTCTATCCCACATCCCCACTTACGATTTGTCAATCTGACACCCTGCTCGTGCTGCCCAAAGGCTACCGGAAGAGACAGACTACCTCTTGTTCATCAATTGCTAGGGTTATTAGGCAGTTCACTTTAAGTAGCACGATTTCAAAGCCGCTGGTCAGTGCGATTTTATGTGCGGCTTGCCTGACAGCTGTATGACTTCATGCACAAATGTCTATGCAAGTTGCACATGAAAGTGCTAAAATAGTGCAGAAATCTCTTTTCAAAATCATTGTTGTTGCTCCGCAAAGTCGGAGTCACACCGATTTGAATGGTTCCATTGTTGGCAATGGGGTGCAAGTTGTCATGTGATTTGGAACTTTCAAATCGCGCCAGTGCTAACCAAGGCTAAAGGAACCCACTGAAATAATGTTATAATAGTAACAATATAACAGTTATTTAAACTGTGGGAAAACAATGTCACCAACAAATAAATCCATAACCCTTCTCATTTGTTTTAATGTTGTGAACTGATCAGCATCCTTTTAAAATGTCAGGATCTGATAAATGATCATGAATTTTGAATCTGTCACCTATTTCCTTTTGCTGTAGTATTATTGAGTACCTATATTGAGTCACCTTATGAGTGGTTTCACCCACATATAGCAGGGTGCCTCAGTGGGCCTACAACACAAGTACTTTGACATGTAAAATGATAAAACGTACTGTTTAGAAGTCCTACATTCCAAAAGGAGTTAAGCTAGCAATACGCTGTTAGTTTTTTTTTTTTTTGTTTTGTTTTTTTTTAATAAGAGCGGTTGGTGGAGAAACCTCTAACCCCACCAATGAGTATGGAGTGTGATATCTCAATAGAATTGAATGAAATTTGCAGTGTGCATATCTGGAGAAGATTCTGATCAAAAGCTGTGTGGTACCTGGGAGGCCCCACGGCCAGATCTCAACAGATGGGCATTGGGGTAAGATTGGATAGTTTTACCTGTACTGAAAGTAAGGATTTCGGTAAGACAAAATAAAACTTTTGTCTTTGCCATGCATTGGTAGTTGTATCTCTGAGAGAGACCACTTTACATAATAACTCTGAATGCTGGGACTCCTTGTGATCCTTGCCTAACACTGACAGCACACATGGTAACTTGGACCCATCACATTTCCCCGTAGTACAGTTAAGGATCTGCCGTACTTACAAAGAGCCTATAGAAAAAGTTGGCACAATATGCTTAATGGCATGAAAAGCTTCTTTGACTGCATAAAGCAGTTGTTACTGCCCTCAAGGTCATCAGACGTGACCTCAAAATTTGGGGCAATACTTGCTTTTATTTAGCTGTTTATGGACATTGTAACTCGCATATAATACATTTACTGTTATTGTCTTATTTTCACATTGAAGCTATCTGTTTTTTTTTCTCAGAGACTCCTAAAATATGAACAGTGTAGCTGAAAGACATGATGTTATGCTGCTACATATATGTCCCTTATCACTAGTATGGTTATACTATGCATTTGTATATTATGTTGAACAAATGCAAAAAATTATAGTAACCTTTTATTAACCATTCCTCCAGGTAACAAACTCTGCCAAGCAGTCCTGGTCAGAGCTGGACATCCTCCTTTTGATAGGAACTCTGGGTCATGTGATTAGTATGGGCTCAAGTAGCTTCATCGAGGAAGAACACCAAACATGGTATTTTCTTGTTAGTACACTGTGTCTGGCGCTATCCCAGGAAATGTGTCGGAAATACTTTCTTGTAAAAAAAGGAAATTTATCAGACTCTGCAGCTTTTAATCAGGCAGAGGAAGAGGAAGCATACATTAATGAGATTTATGATGCCCATAAAAAGGAGTTACAAGAGGAAAAGTTACCAATTATAACTCGGTTTATTAAAAACAATGAAAAATGGATTGCATTATCCAGTCCAGGCCTTATTCTTATTTGTTGTCGATTACTTCGTCCCCTCAATCAGACAGGAGTTCAGTGGATTCATCGACCAGACTTTGGGCATTGGTTGACAAGGTAACTAATGTTTCTTTCTTACTTATGTTAATCTTTTTTTATGGTGTGTAGATTTTTCCTTCTAGTTGACCTAGACCTCTCTTTGTTCTGTTAGCAGTTTTACTATAGACGTTATGCAGTTCATTTGTTATTAATGGGTAGGTTACATGTGGCTTAGTTTGCTAAGATTATCCTGATCAGCTTCACAGTGGATTGACATGAGGCTTGCACCATATGTTTCTCATTTTGGAGTTGCCAGCTTAGATTAAAAGGTTATCCAGTTATTGCAGGCCTATGCCAAGGGTGGCAGGATCATGATAAGCAAAGTCAGGTGAACCTGCCATAAGCCCAATTTTTTTTATACAAAAGTTATACAATAAGTTAAAGTCAAATTGAAATCCAAAGATTTCCTATAATAGGGAAACTTTTTAGAAATGTAAATTATGTGATTATGTAGTACCCTAAAAATGTTACTTTTTGTCTCAAGTTTATGCTACAAAGTAGGAGTTTGCTTCTAAAATAGTGTGTAATATACACTCACCAGCCTCTTTATTAGGTGCACTTGTTCAGTTGCTTGGTTAATCAGCCAATCAGATGGCAGAAACTCAATGCATTTAGGCATCTAGATGTGGTGAAGATGACTTGCTTAATTTCAAACCAAGCATCAGAATGGGGAAGAAAGGGTATTTAAGTGAAATTTGACATGGTTGTTTTTGCCAGACGGGCTTGGCTGAGTATTTCAAAAACTGCAGATTTACTGGGATTTTCATGCACAACCATCTCTAGGGCTTACAGAGTATGGTCCGAAAAAGAGAGAAAATCTCCAGTGGGCAGCAGTTGTGTAGACGAAAGTGCCTTGTTGATCTCAGAGGTTAGAGGAGAATGGGCAGACTGGTTCGAGATGATTGGCAACAGTAGCTCAAATAACCACTCATTACAACCAAGGTGTGCAGAATACCACCTCTAAATGCACAACATGTTGAACCTTGAAGCAGAAGACCACACCAGATGCCACTCCTGTCAGCTGGGAACAGGAAATGGAGGCTACAGTTCACACAGGCTCACCAAAATTGGACAATAGAATATTGGAAAATCATTGCTTGGTCTGATGAGTCTCGATTTCAGCTGCAACATTCAGATTGTAGGGTCAGAATTTGGCATAAACAATATGAAAGCATGGATCCATCCTGCCTTGTATCAAGGGTTCAGGCTGGTGACGCTGGTGTAATGGTGTGGGGGATATTTTCTTGGCACGCTTTGGGCCCCTTAATACTAATAATTGAGCATCGTTTAAATGCCACGGCCTACCTGAGTATTGTTGCTGACCATGTCCATCCCTTTATGACTACAGTGTACTCATCTTCTGATGGCTACTTCCAGCAGGATTATGCACCATGTCACAAAGCTCAAATCGTTTCAAACTGGTTTCTTCAACGTGACAATAAGTTTACTGTACTCCAATGGTCTACACAGTCACTAGATGTCACGTACCTGGTGTGAGAGGCCAATAGAGAGAGGGCTTCCCTTGCAGCTAAGTTCCAGACTCCCCTGAGTGTGGGACAGCAGGAGTCAGGCCCAAAGTGGCACAGGTCGCCTGTAGGAGTGCTTGTTGGTGGTCCACCCAGGAGTACAGCTGATGCACTGAGATGAGGTTTGCAGACAGGTGGCGCCTGTGCGAGGTATGCAAGCTCTTCCGGGGAGCAGAGGATTACTGGATAGCTGGTTCAAACCCAAGGTCAGGTACCAGGTGGGAATCGGAGCAGGCGTAGTCAGATGGGATAGCCAAGGTCATACACAGAGGAGCAAAGAGGGAATATCTGTTAGCCAAGCCGAGGTCAGATCAGGGGTTAAGCAGAGCAGACAGGTCCAAGAGCAAGCCGAGTTGGTATCAGGAAATCACCGATCACAATAGCACAGGAAACAGGAACAAGGTACTGGGAAGCCAGAGATCAACCAGCACCTGAGAGTAGGGCAGGGCTTCCTTATAAAGGCTGTTTGGAACCAAATTTGAGTCGATGTGAACTTCTGCCATGCAAGGTACTGGCAGGGGTGCCAGGCCTCCTAACACCTCTGCCAAGGACAGAGCCCTGACACCAGAACTCAATGCAAAAGAGCACCTTTGGGATGTGGTGGAATGGGAAATTTGCATCATGGATGTTCAGCCGATAAAGCTGCAGTTATGCTATCATGTCACTATGGACCAAAATCTCTGAGAAATGTTTCCAACACCTTGTTGAATCTATGCCACAAAGAATCAAGGCAGTTCTGACATCTGGTACTAGCAAGTTGTACCTAATAAAGTGACCGATGAGTGTATATTTTGTATATAAGTGTGCCTAGTCAGTGTAAGATTAAGTCACTGCTGCCAATTAGGAGATTTGGAGCAAGATTTGGTGATGCCACTACAGTGCTGCACACTGATGTTCTCACTGGAAACTCTGACATGCAGTGCAGAACAAGGCATGTATGGGCCATTTTACACTAGCTGTGTCCATTTCGATCAGTGAAAAAATCCCCTGCTGAATCTGAGATGAACAGTATGGATGTCACTGCTGTGACACCTGTGTCTGTTCAGGTTTACCCCCCCCTGGAGCTTAAAGGAAAAGTTCACTTTTTTACAAAAAAAAAAAATGCACATTTTTTTGCAGGTAAAAAAATATGCATTTATTATTTTCTTTGTTGGAGACCTGTAAAGCATTGCACCCATGATCAGCAGATCGTGGGTTTAATTCCATGGTCCTGCAGACTGCCTATCTGTCTGCTCAATTAGCTACCTAGAGCAATCACAGTGCATCGGCAGTTCATTGAAAACTAAAAACTGACAGACACAAAAGCTGTTGGGAACACTGTGAATGAATGATGCAGCCGAGCATGTGGCCCTAACGGCTGCATTTTTGTTTGGGGAGAATATCCCCACTTGCTGTCAAAACAGGGACCTGGGGGGGTGCGGGGAATGGTGCATTTGTAATATGTTACATGTTACACTGTGAATATGTTACAAAAGGGGAACTTATCTTTTAACAGACTCCATGTTAGTTCTATGGGCAGGGCCAGATAATCAGTATGGAATCAAGTACCTTCATCAAGGAAAAACACCAAACATAGCATTTTCTTGTTATAGTACCTGGTTTTATCCTGGGAAATGTGTTTGGAAACACTTTCTTCCAAAAAAAAAAAAAATAGTGCAATTTATGATAGCTATAAAATTACAGAAGGAAAAGTTACTAATTATAACTCGGTTTGTTAAAATCAATGAAAAATGAATTTACATTATGAAGTCCTAGCTTTATCTTTTATTTGTTGATTATTTCAGAGATCTGTAAATGAATAAACTACCACCACGGCAGAGCGGTAGTTTTCAACAGAGCACAAGTACGGTGATTACAGCACTTGTAATGCATTGACACCTTCTCCAGCTCTGTAACTGAAAGTCTATACCTCGGTATGGATTGAGAGCTGGAGGAAGAGAAGAAAATTGTAAAAAAAAAAAAATCACAGAATGTGTTGTCGAACTTGAATGTGTTTTTTCTATATTAAGGTTATATTACTCATCTCTAGAAAAGTTATTTATGGTAAAAAGGTATTGCTATTGTAGAGGAAGTGGTTTGGTAAAGATAGGGAGTTTCCCCTGGTGTAGGTTTAGATATTATTGGTGGGTCCTATGGATCATATTGGTGAGGTATATAAATAACCTACATTGAACATGACATACACAGGGTTGGATGAGTGTTAAGAAGAGTACTATATTATCTTAGAATGTTAGAGGCCTACATGATAACAATAAACATATAGCCATGTTTAATACTCTAAGATATTATAATCCATCAACTATTTGTTTGCAAGAAACTCACCTAACAAATGAGTCAGACTTTTGAAGAGGATAAGATAAACCCTGCAGTATCATTTAGGGCAGGGGTCTCCAAACTATGGCCCAACAAGTACCATCATGCCTCTGCCTCTGAGAGTCTTGCAAGGCCTCATGGGACTTGCAGTTCCTCAACACCTGTGGGCCATAGTTTGGAGACCCCTGATTTAGATTATAGACATTGTTCTAGAGGAATGAGCATAATAATTCCAGCTGGTACACCCTTTTCTGTTTTTCAATCTTTGAGTGATAGATTGGAGAGGTACCTTTTTTCTATTATTTAATTGGGACTCACACGTATGCATGTTGGCAGTTTACTGCTAGTCAACCTTTAGTTCCACTTATTGTAGTGGGAAATTTTAATATTTTGGATTCTATACTAGATATATTTAAATATTTCAGCCAATGGGACCAAGGGGGCGAACCCCATTTGCTTGCCATATTTTGGAGGCATGGCTGAAAGATCTATGGATATGTCACCCATTGGAACTGCAGCATTCTTCTTTTTTTTTTTTTTTCTTCACGGACACATTTATCACTATCACGTATTGACTTTGAACAGGTATTTGGAAATGATCTAGTTTTTTTTTTCTTCTTCACCCCCAATTAAATATTTAGCTAGATCACATCAGATCACTCTCCAGTTTTATCATCTATGAATTTAGGGGCACAAGGAAACAAAGGGTTTTGGAAGTTAAATCCATTTGGATTACACTATTTAAGAATAGAAAATAGAATGTGGGCCTATACTTAAAATTTTTTTTTGGGAGAACAGGGACTCAGCATCTCCACTTATTGTATGGGACACATTAAAAGCTTATTTTAGAGGTTTATGTTTAAAGAAAGTATCAGTTATAAAAAATATGAGGGAATGGGAAACAAAAGCAAGACAGAGGGTGACTGAGACAGAATTAGAATTTTATATAGAATCGTAATAGAGAAATAGAATGGATATAGTTATATGCTCAAAAATTTTACTAGGTTGAGGTTATAAGACAGGGGTCAGCAACCAGTAGATCGCTGCCAGGTGACTGGTAGAGCGCTTCTTACCCACAATCCCAGAGCATCAAACAGAGTGCAATGCAGCGGTACTACTTGTAAAGTTGTAGCTGTAGTAGGTAGCAAGAGCCACATAAGCCGATGTCCCCTTTAGCTG